ATGGTGGGTCAGGCCCACAAACAAGTTCTACTCTACTACAGTCCAAGCAGAGATCCGATATATGTATACATCCTAGTTAATCCAACAGTAACTAGTAGTCTGTATATATATATATACATACACTAAAGGAACCTCACTAGACTATAGGGTTGTCTCAACCTGAATAGTAGGCAACATGCAAAACGCACATATAGTGGGCATGACTACCTAGACCTACCAGGGTACACAACTACACTATATCTAGCTACACATCCCTGGAGATATACGCGCCCTAACCATTGATCCTGAGACTCAAGCTCATATCATGACACCATACTTATATATATAAAATCTAGTAACCCTCCAATCCAGTATAAATTAATCCTCCATAAGTCATTCAACTTGTTCAGCTGACCTGACTTGAATATAAGTAGAACTTAACATTTTAGTTAATCCATTCCCTTATATAATAAATTAATCCTCCATAAGTCATTCAACTTGTTTAGCTGACCTGACTTAAATATAAGTAGGACTTAACATTTTAGTTAATCCATTCCCTTATATAAAATAGGTAGGACTTAACTGATAAGTTAATCCATCCCTAGAATGCCACCGTCCCATACCGGTGCATTAAACCACACAATCCAACAATTGATGTAACAATTAAGGAAATACATTAAACATTCCATAAATAACTATGATAAATATGATATCAAGTTATCACATAATAGGAATGACTTATTATTTCTTTAAACTTCCTATATCATATGTCCTACACAAACTGAATCTTATACATGATGATATTTTATTATACCGTTAAATAAGGATTCTCTATATCCAATTCATCCTACATATTTAATCTCAATTGCTATAATATTTTAAAAGATTAAATCCATTCGTTTGTTTTAAACATTCAAATAGCAAGCATCATTATGATCGAGTCTATTTAAATTTATTAAAACCCAAACCTAGTCCCTATTTAATGTTCAGGAATCCTAGGCATGTTTTTACGTTCCATCATTCCACAGATATGAAAAATACATAATTTAAACATGTAAAAATTCACATAAGAAATCAAATCAAAATCATGTATTTTATCAATTCATAACACAAGAACAGATATGAACCAATTTCATAAAACCTATGTTCTAACCCAATTAAACATGTATAATTATTTAATTTTATGTGTTTAATAAATCCTGAAATTTCCTAGGCATGTACAGAAACACGAATCAAAGGGAAAGAGATAGAAGAAAAACTTGTCTTAAACTTTCGGATCGAAAGTTAAACTTCTTCCTACAGGGTTTTTCTCCTCATTCTTTCCTTTTCCTCATTCCCTCTCTAACACTATCTCTCTAGTATATATCACGTGAATATTTCTAATCCCCTTTTACAGCCTATAGCTATATATTTATAGGCTAAATAAAATAACCCTAACATTTTTCCCAATCCAAGTCCACTAAAAAAAAATGAAAATAAAAATATTAAAAAGGTAAGCAAAATATGTTACGTATATAATTTAGGTATATGTTTATTAAATAAATAAATTATACACATTCCATTATTTATTAATGGATTATCCAATAATATTTAAGTTATCATAATATTATAAAGTAACTTAAAACATAACACGTATCAAATCTATGTATATTTTTATTATTTAAATAAACATATACATCAGATTAAATATTACTATCCAAATTACCATAAAAGTAATTAATAAATTACTTTCTCTTTTATATATATATTAAAAAGGTAAGTAAAATATGTTATGTATATAATTTATATATATGTTTATTAAATAAATAAATTATACACATTCCATTATTTATTAATGGATTATCCAATAATACTTAAGTTACTATAATATTATAAAGTAACTTAAAACATGTTACGTATATAATCTATCTGTATCCTCATTAAATAAATAAAATATATACATCAGATTATTTATTTATACTAAAGTTACCATAATAGTAAAAAGGTAACTTAAAACATGTTACGTATCCTTATTATATAAATATATAAAATATATACATCAGATTATTTATTAATACTAAAGTTAATATAATATTAATAAATTACTTTTCTTTTTATATATATGTATATACATATATATCTATATATATACATATAGAACTATCTATGGGTAATTATTCATACCCATTCAACCTCCTATCCAAGTAGTCCATGGGACCTAATTAGTTAGCCCATTACCACTAACCATAATCATAAAATAAAATAAAACATTTAATCATTTAATTTACAATTAATTACAATTAATCAAATACATCATTTAAGCACACAATCTAATTAAACAAATAATACAAATAACACCTAGACAAAATACCAATAACACATAAATAAGTAGCCAATTAATCAAGTAATACTTAATTCAATTAAACACATAAACAATTAGTCAAATAATCAATTAAATAATTAAAAAAAATACAATAAAAATAAATAAATAAATACCGAGACTATCCTTTTAAAATTAGGGGTATTACACAACAAGAGTAGGCTGAGCCAAAAGACTAAATAAAAATGCCGAATCGCTACCACCATCATCATCATAACAATGTAATCCCATCTTAGCCAAACCTTCAAGCATCTTTTATTTCTGAATAATTAAACTAGCCAAAGATCTACGAGATTTCTGGCTTAAGGCATCAGCTACAACATCTGCCTTGCCCAGATGATACTGCAAATCAAAATTATAGTCCTCTACGAACTCAACCCATTGCCTCTGCCTTATATTCAAATCCCTTTGAGAAAAAAGATACTTGAGGCTCTTATGATTCGAGAACACCTCAAATCTCTCACCATACAAATAATGTCTCCAACACTTCAAGACAAAAACGACTGTCGCCAACTCCACGTCGCTACATCAATACTTTAATTGAGAGATGATTTGAGGAGACCAATACCCTTCATCTGGTGTCGAGGGAGCTAGGGATCATACCGCTAGATTGGTCAATAATGTCTGACCTTGCCTTCAGGAGGAAACCAGTTCCCTTGGCCAGGATGAGTGGTGCCAATGTTAGGAAGGCTTTGAGGATTTCTAAAGCATCATAGATGATGGCACCGCGCCCAAGGTTAAGCCCCTTTAGCGTAGTGTGAGCTACGATGTGGCACCATTTTGGAGGAACGAGGTATGTTATGGTCATTGTTTCCTCCTCTGGTATATTACCGGCTTCTTCTTTGGGGATAACAATAAAAGAGTCCCGAATGTACTAGTGGCAGCTGTCCTTTATCTTGATCTGATTGGGACTCACGACTGGGGCGGGCTGTTCTATGGTGAGCTCTTGTCGAGACTCCGAGACGGGACTCATAGGCCTTATGGGTGCATGTCATGCGCCTGGCACTTCTTACTTGTGAGTGTCTTACCTTTGCCTTTGAGCTGCTCTTTCTCTTTCCTGATGTGTGTGTGTGTGTGTGTTTTTGTTTCCTATATATTTCTTATCAGTTCTGGGCCTTTGATCACCTGCCATCTTGTTGCCTGGGAGTGAAGAGGTAACATGCTTTTCCTTGGGTGAGGTTTTGGGATTCCGAAGAAAGAGAGCTTTCGACGGAGTTGACATATTTTGTAGCCTGCCGAGTCCAATTGGAGTTATTGTGGGCGGGTGATATTACTTGGTAGCCTTATGTAGGTTCTCCATACGTTGTCAGATTTGAGTTATTTGTGGAGTTGTCTTCCCAGTAAGTAGCCTTTCCTACTCGGAATGAACGGCTGGGAGTATTACTTGGGTGATCGCTGTTGGCAACAAACCCATAACAATTTCAGGATTCCTCAGGACCCTCCCAAGCAAATGTGCTGTGTGGGCGGCAGAATCCCTAGGCCTATAGAGAGGACGGACACCTCACTGGCTCTGCAGCCCCCTACGCCTAACAAAAATCTTTGGGTTGCTTATTATAGGTGGTTTTTAGACAATTCCATTGGCATGTTGACCCACAATCAACAAGTGTCTGGCGGAACTGTGTTGGGCTGTGATGTGTACTCTGAATGGGTTCTGGCAAAAGGGGCTCAGACGGTCTTGGCAACCGAGTATGCATTGGTGAGATCCGGGCTTGAGTTGGCAGATACAAGACCTACTTCTCTAGAGCAGACTGTTGAGTATTATAGGCAAATCTTGAGCAAAAAGAGGGAATCATTCAATGATACCAAGAGGTAGTTGCACATACTCTATACTTTCTGGATTTTTGCCTTTCATGTATCCTTGTTCCAACTAATACTGGTAGGTCCCCATCCTTCTTGTGCAGGCTTAGTGGTAGACAGATTCTTTACAGTGCCCCCAGGACAAGAGATAGTGTAGGCATTGGCCCCCTGATGGGATGATGGGCAAAAGACCTTCTATAGATAGTATGGGTTTAGTACTTCCAGAGCATGTCCCTATCCGAATCCTTCCATTGTGTGAGCAGCCCCAGCCTTTTCCCGCTGTAGATGCTGACTAGGATACCCCGGCAGTGTGTATGGAGGTAGATTTTTTCACCTATGTGTGGGATAATGCAGGTGATCCTGATCTTGAATACTTCATGGGAAGAGGAAGAGCCACTGGGGGGTGTATCTTTGGGGGATTTCATGCATGAGAGTGACGATGAAGGGAACGGTACTAGGGATGGCAACGGGGCGGACCAAACCCGTCCCGTTAAAAAATCAGTCATACCAACTTCGCCCCTACTCTAGGACGGACGGGTTTGCAATTGGTATACCATCCCCGCTCCTACTTCGGCAAACAAAATACCGACTTTGCCCCGCATACTCTGTTTAATTACATGGCGGGAGCGGGTTATACCGCTTTTATTATTTATTAATAAGAAAAGTAGCCCATGAGCTCAAATTGGGTTGATAAATAAGTTGAACCGAACTTTTAAATTACTACGTAATGAATATTAATATATTAATTGACACTACTAATAAAGTAAAATGGTCTTAAAAATATTAATTATATATTTTATATATTAATAATTTTTTTTAAAGATACATATGTAAGGGGCAGGGTTGGGTGATTTATCACTAAATTCACCTCCGTCCCTAACCCGAATTTTAAATTTTTTTTATCATAATTTAGTGGCTACCAAAATTGCCCGGGCAGGGCAAGGCTGGGCAAAACTCCGCCATCCCTCGTCTTTTTCTTCACGTTCCGGTTTGGATTGAGAATATGGTGGTTCTTCTATCGGATCGGATTCGAAATTACCCATCGTTCCATGTTACAAGCCTGCGAGTCTCTTACCCATCATTTCGAAGGTAAAAGGTCGAGAGAGACGATTTAGAGGGTTTTAAGACTGAACCCTCACTCACGGTGTTCCGTCAAAAATCCACTCACGGTGTTCCGTCACAAAATCCACTCACTGTATTTTCACTTTCATCACCATCTCTCTCCGGAGTTCCAACCCATATTACGTTTCTTTGCCGCCACTGCGCTTATATGTGCCTTGAGGTAACTCTGTGACTCTGTCTTCTATCGTCTGTGATTTCATTTTCCTGATTTTCGTTTTCTGGGTTATGAGATTTCTGTCTGTTCTTGGATTCAAGTTACTTTATTGATTTATTTATTTTCAATTAATTTGTCTGATTTTAGCGTACAAATGGGTCTAAACTTCACCTAAAAATCAATTGGTTAGGTTTTCCCCTTTTTGTTTGGTCTATCTTCTATCTTATGATTACCAATTTTTTTTTTTTTTCTTTTTTTGGTAAATGAAAGCAAAAGGATCTTCTCTCGCTGAATTTGAAAAAAAAAAGTTCATCTCATATACGTGATTAATTGCATTTGCATTTTTAGCGCTAAGGTTTTAGTGTGTTTAATATATGAATGAAGCATCAATATTCTCCATTTCTTTTTCTTGATTTAAAGCAGCTTTGTGGAAGGTTTAAGGTTTTGGCCCAACCTTCCAATGGGTACTTCAAAAGTTTCATTGTTCTTGTCATCTTGCTATATTCTCTCTATGTTACTACTTTTTAGCTGCTCAGTTTTGGTATGGTGTTCAACTGTGGAATATTGTTCTTTATCCTGTTATGTTATGGGTTCATGCGTATTAGTTAACTAATTATGTATAGAAATTGGAAAGACAACCTCTCAAGTTTACGTTTGTGTCAGGCTATTCAACTGAAAATTTATATCATATAATATTGCCCTATCTAGTCAAATATTTATGTGACAAGAGTCGATCAAAAAAAAAAAAAAAAAAAAAATGAAGAAGAAGAAGCATAAAGGTTTTCCAGAAGATGTCTGTGGGAACTTTTCGTAAAGACACTTCACTCACCATCTGTTTGACTGTTGAAAAAAAATGTGGAAATGGTTGTCCCTCTTATCCCAAGCACTGTAACTTTTTTTTATTTATTTAAATTCATTAAGAAGTGCTTTGGTCGTATATATGTTGGATGGAATTGAGAGATGGTCATGAATGCTTCTTCTAATTGTGATAAGCACTGTAATACACATGTATGAAGCCTACACCTCAAGGCTTTATGTTAAGGTGAGTCCTTCAAGATGCAGCCTTAGAGAATGAAGGTCTTGAGGCCCTGGTCTTGATTCTTTGAGAACTTAGAAGTTTACCCTTTCATTCCTTGAGGTGCCCAAGATGAGCTACATGGTAAATTTATCAAAATGGTGGCTTTTGCCTTTCTGGTTAGACGGTTGATATTATTTGACATTTGCAATATTTGTTAGGATCTAGTTCATCATTCTGCATTTAAAAATGATATCACTTTCTTTGAGTGGTCTTGGTAAAATTTTCTGACTTGTACCCTCGTGTTGTTTGTCATATCAATATCTGCTTCATAGATTTTTAGAACATTTCATAATTCTATTTGATGTAGTAGAACTTATGAGACAAACTGTCTTGGTACTTTTATCTTGACTCACGTTAGTGTCTTTTCAAACTTTAGTAAGCACATGGCATCTTAGTGCCGAAATTATTGTTGTGACCTGGGATTTTTAAATGTGGAAAACCTTAAAGCTCACTTGCTGTCAGTTCTTAGGAAAAACAGTGAAGAGAAATTTTATTTAAACCAATTGCAAAGAAACATACATGCTGTTGCAATATGCATGAATTTAATCTTTTGGTAATTACTTGTATTTGACTGAGGAATTATATAACATGGTTTCTCTTATCTGTCAATTCATTTTTCATCATAATGATGGGATACGGCATTTTCTTTTTTTTATTTTTATTTTTTATTTTTTATTATGTATGCTTCTTTTTTTCTTTGTTTCTGGAAGCATTAAGGATAAAGAATTGAAATGATTGCTATTGTGGGATGAAGACAGTTGGAATCAAAAGTCCCCAGCTATTGATATTTGTTGAGACTTCAAGGATGTCAGTTGATCCTACTTTTGTTGATGAGGATGCATCATCAGGCTCAGGAGAGGACGTGACCATGTTAGATGGACACAACAAGCATGAGTCTGGGACAGGTCCAGGTCGTCGCAAGAGAAGTCGAAAGGCAACTGGTGATGCTATAGTTGATGCTATGCTAGAAATAGCGGCAGCTTCAAAAATGAGGGCAACTGCAATTATGAAGAGTGTAGATCGATTTTCTACAAGCAAATGCATAAAAGTATTGGATGAGATGCAAGGTGTTGACCAAAGCCTCTACTTTTTTGCTTTGGATTTATTTGAGAATCCCAATGCCAGAGAAACTTTCATAGCTCTTAAGAGTGAGAAACGATTGACATGGTTGCAGGGCAAGTTTGCTGCTTCCTCTGGTTCAGTAGTATGAGGGGCTTAATGGATTTTGTTCCTTCTTCATTTCCAACACTAGAAAGTTTGTACAATTGCAGTAGACTTTACTAAAAATTTCATGTTTGTATCTAGTTTGACTCTATGGTTAACAGCTGTTTTACCTATAGTTCAGTGATTTTTATTGATAGTGAGTTTAGATTCCGTATGCTAATTTTGTGTTTCTAGTGTTTGAAATCTATAAAAGGGTTGAATGTTTTCATGAGCGGTTGACAGTGTATATAATCAAGTAGTTTGTGTTATATATGTATTTTTAAATTCTATTTCTACAGATATATCAGCCGGCATGGATGACGTTGACTTAGAATTGGACGAGATGGAATTAGTTGCAGCAGCTGCTGGTTACTATTACTATAATAGTATAACTAAGCAGCCCTGTCGTAGTGTGTCACCCAGTGGATCTGGGTTTATGACTGAAATACTGAATGGTGATCATGATGTATGTCGTGAAATGTTTAGGATGGATAAACATGTTTTCCACAAGTTAAGTGAAACTCTTCGACAAAGAGGCATGCTACGTGATACAGCTGGTGTAATGATAGAGGAGCAGCTGGCAATTTTCTTGAACATTGTTGGGCACAATGAGCGTAATAGAGTAATACAAGAACGTTTCCAGCATTCAGGAGAAACAATAAGCAGGCATTTCAATAATGTATTGAAGGCGATAAAGTCGCTGTCACGTGAATTTCTACAACCACCTCCATTCTCAACTCCTCCAGAAATCGTCACAAGTAACAGATTTTATCCATATTTTAAGGTTTATATCTAATCACTTTCTTTAGTGTGTTTTTTTTTTTTTTTTTTTTTCATTTAATATGCATCCTGGTGTGCCATTCACTTCTTATCCACTCAGGATTGCATTGGAGTAATAGATGGCATGCATGTCCCTGCACATGTCCCAGCGAAAGATCAATCCCGGTTTCGTAATAAGAAAGGTGTTCTATCGCAAAATGTTTTGGCAGCTTGCACATTAGACCTGCAGTTCATATTCATTTATCCTGGTTGGGAAGGCTCGGCTGCTGATTCACGTGTATTAAGAGCAGTCCTTGATGATCCAGATCAGAATTTCCCTCAAATTCCCCAAGGTTGTCACTGAATACTCATTAGCGAAACATGCTGCTTATTTATGTATTTTCTTCTTGTTTTGTTTTAGTGATATGCAATAGAACCATGCTCTACTTGTAAGCTGAATCGGCCCAAGAATCATTTTCCTAAGCAATATCTTACGGATGAATATAACTCCTGGATTGATCATGACAAACTTTTATGTTCCAGGCAAATACTATCTTGTTGACGCAGGTTACTCAAATATGGAGGGATTTATTGCTCCATATCAAGGAGTTCGGTACCATCTCCATGAATACAAAGGTGCTAATCAATTGCCAAGAAGTGCAAAGGAGCTATTTAATCACCGACACTCATCTTTAAGAAACGCCATCCAGAAATCCTTTGATGTGTTGAAAGCTCGATTTCCTATTCTCAAACTTGCCCCTCAATATGGTTTCCATATACAAAGGGATATAGTTATAGCAGCGTGTGTTATACATAACCATGTCCGGCGAGAGGAAAAAAATGATTGGTTGTTTGCTAGTGCTGAAGGTGGGGCAGTTGAAGAATTGCCTGATGTTGATGAACCTGATATGCATCTGGCTTCCTCAATACAAGAACAGATTGCTTCCGCGATGCGGGACTCAATTGCTGCAGAAATGTGGAATGACTTCATAAATAAATGGGATGAGTGGTGATTAGTATTTAGCAGCAATGAGGTCCCTGCGGAGTTGCTGTATTACTTGCGTGAATCTGGGAACTGGGTGTTGGTTAGGACTCGGAGAGAGTTTCCAGCCTCCTGCTAAACAACCATTGTTATTCGGTTTCTGTCTTCCTCTCTCTCTCTCTGCCCCTACTCCTGCTCCTTGGTGTTTTGACTAGGGATTGGGAAGGGGGGTTGGATTGGTTTCTAATTATTCATGACACTCTCGATCGATCGATTTGTGTATATATATATCATGTCATGCAAGTTTTTGTAGCAGATGACAATTGGTGATGTTGGTTTTGGGCTATTGCTGTTATGTTATTCAAGTGTAAGACAATTGGTGATGTTGGTTTTGGGCTATTGCTGTTATGGCTGGTTAAAAAGGTATTTTATATTTGGTATTGTTCATTGCTACAGCATTTTTGTTTCTGTGCTCGGAAGTTTTGGCCTCTTTTTTTTAAAACATTTTATACCATTCAAATCGTAACAAACGTTTTCAAATGGGTTTTTGTGATTTGTTTCACTACATAAGCTGTTAGAAGCAAAAGTGGTTGTCAAACAAGGTCTTTATATATATATATATATAGATATTATATTTTGGATGCTGCCATTGGGGTAAGTGCAATGCTTGGTCCAAATTGGAACTTGTTCTTTCGTTAATGACTTGGTTTGCGGCTCATTGTATATTAAGTAGGTGATGAAAATGTCTCTAAATTAGTAAAAATTATCACGACTTTTGTTTTTGTTTTACAGAGTTTAATGTTACAATTATAATTAATTAATAAATTTTTTTAAATTACATTGAATCTCATTCTTCTAATAAAAAAAAAAATTATAAAATCACATCTCTTACCCCTTAGAGCCACAACTTGACACTGTTATTGAAGTTTTGGTTGGGACTCGTGATGGAATATAAATACTATATTATGTCTTTGTCTCCTCTTTTTGTTATTACCTTGTAGTCAGGTCAATTTATTCAAAGCGCAGTGGCCTGAAGGGATGCGTACAACATTGTATAACATTACCTCTAGTGTTGTTTCATTGAATTTATAACTAGTAGTAAATTTGGTAATTTATTTACTATCAATATAATAATAATAATAATAATAATAATAATAAGAATAAGAAGAAGAAGAAGAAGAAGAAGAAGAGTAATGATGTTCGGTTTGATCTAAATGGCCGACAAATTGTTCGAATTCTATATGGCAATGCTACGTCATTGCCAATGTGTGTATTATCTATTTGAATCTCTTTGTTTTTTCTTCCCTCTGCATTTTTGGCGACAATCTCTATGTATATTTTTAATCTTCTCACAAAATTGATTTAATGCTCAAAACGACATCAAATCGAATGAATTTGATCTACTTTTTGAAAATACATAATAAGATTAGAAAAGATTGCAAAAGAGAGAGAAGAGACCTAATTTAATGATATGATTAAAGATCTATGAAATCTCAAATTTTGAGTTTTGGTTGAAACCTATTAGGACGTTTCCAAATTTCCTAGAAAAATTTATTTTTCCATCTGATTTTGGATAATCAAAGAAGGAACATAGTAATCAAAGAAGTCGCAGATACATATAAAATCACAAGAAAAAAATTTCAGATTTAGTGAAAGAGAAATTTTGTACCGGAGAATAGTATATGGTAGAAACGAAAGATACAATACAGGGCAACAGAGGAGAGAGAATGAAACCTAAACAGAAAGGATTCATGTTTTAGTTTCTTTATCTTAGCAGACAGATATTCAATCATTTGGATCGGACCCAGTATCATTACTCAAATTTTAAAAATTACTATCTTAAAAAGTTAATTCCTGAAACTGGATAATTATTGTAAGGCGGAGGGATTGAGATCCTCTGCAGTAAACGGATCGTGCTGTAGTGAAAAAAGAAATTGTTTTTAAATTGGTAACTGTAGAGTCCAACGGAAAAAAGAACGACGTCAAAAAAATAAAATAGAAAGTAAAAAATAAAAAGGAAAAACAGAAAAAAAAAAAAAAAAAAAAGGAAAACAAACTTCAGAGCTTCCCTCCCTTGTCACTACTCCCTTACATCATCTCCCTCTCTCGTCACGGGTTACCTCAAAATAGCATACTGGTACTGAGTTTTTCAAGCATCACTTCGTCCCTGTCTTGCGGCTATATTTTCAGGTACTCACTCTTTCTTTCCTCTTTCCCTCCTCATAAACCCTAACTCTCTCTCTCTAAAAATCACACTTATTTCTGCACAATATATCATTATATCTGCTAGTGAGAATGGAATCTTCTTCTTCATCTATTTCCATACTAACTGCATTTATGTTTGCAATCCAAAATCCAGTTAAACAGTCAGCCTAAATGTGTTTTCTTAAACAACGATTTCCCAAGAAATTGGCCAATATATTTTAGTAACAAAATCGACAGGTAGGCTTAAGCTTCCAGCTACCCCATTTTTGAATTGGAATGACAAGAAAGAAGTATGACAAAAAGTATTTCGTTATAGATTAGTCTAAATTATTAAAAAACGCAACACATAAAAAAACCTTGTACCTTCACCAAAGATGAAGTTCCATAAATTTCTAATTAAATTCAAATACTGGAAAAGGCAAATCATTTAGAATAAAAAATTCAACATATAAATTTTGTAGGCTGATTTTTCCTTCTTAATTTTCACGCTATTTTGGAAAGAAAACTCAGTTCTTCTGTATAAACCTTTTTTTTTTTGGTCAAGAAGGCAGAGGAGAAGGATAGGAAACCAAAATTTGGGTTCTTCTTAGAGTCATTTACTTACACCTACTATGAATACACTATGACTTAGGCAGATTGAACAGTATAAGCAAAAGGTAGTTGATGAAGTGGGGTTCTGTAGTTGGAAAGAATTCAATGTTTGATTATGGCTAGCAATATATAGTCAAGGATAGGCAAGTTATTCAAATTTTTAGCTAGCATTTAAAAATTGTAATTGTATCGTATCATTTAAGAACACAATGGAATTTTTTGATTGTGTAATTAATTATGACTTGAAAGAGTTTTGAATTGAAACAAAGTTTTGGTATCCTAATGGTTTTAGGATTTGAATGTTGTGATTTGAACTTTAAAGGTAAGATAGTTCTTATCATTTGTGCTTCTTCCTTTTCTTTTTTTTTTTTTTTTTTTTTTTTTTTTTTTTTTTTTTTTTTTCATGTCTCATTGATTGGTAAACACCTTATTTGACTTGATAGTTTGTTTGAAATCGAAGTTGAATTTACTTAAATGTCTGTTTTTATTAGCTTACATTCTTGTTCAAAACTATTTCTGTGCCTTTTCTGCTTGAATCTTGTAGTCAACATTTTTTGTTTTGTTATCCCTTATTATTATTATTATTTGGTTGCCTATTGGGTGAGAGTGTGAGGCTAGTGTATCATGGGAGGAAAATCGAACTCAAGACCTCTATCTTGTTAGTTTATGTAAAGAAAGACCTACATCTTATTAAGTGTAGTTGTTAACGAACTCGTCCACCTTCATGGAATTTGTTATCCTTTTCTTTTTTCCTGTTTTGGAGGTGTGAAAGGGAATCATTATTCAAGTAATCTAAGCAGCTTTAGAGTGCTGTACAACAACAAGGCATGTGAGCTATGACGACCCTAATTTTTAGGCCAGCGCGTCCTGTGATGAATCGAATATTGACCCGATAGCGAATCCAGATGCGGAAGCAAGAAACAAGACAACTGTCTCCCGAGGCACAACACACCTCTAAGACACTTTGATGACCTTCCATGAGGTCGTAGAACTCAATGAGAACTGACGCGAAAGCAAAAGATCAGAAATATGACGAGTAAGCCCCCAGGGGCAAAATAGTTATTTTACATGAAAATGACGTCCCTAGAATGTATATCATTCCCAAAACACATTCAAAACTTTTCATGAAGTCACGGAACTCAAAAGAAAATAGCGGAAGCAAATTACAAGAAAGCCGGACAAAAATAGCCCCAAGGGCAAAATGGTCATTTCTAAAAATATAAAATCAGGTGCTGCCGAGTACACCACTGGGAAGACAGCAAAAAATTAATCAAGTTAGACTCAAGAATCACTTGATTCGGAGTTCCGATGGAAGAGAAAAGTCAAAACAAAGTTTTGACGTCGCCACGGCTGTGAATAGTAACCTAGGCAAAATGCTGAAGTTCGTGTAATGATATTTTCTGAAAAAACACGAAGAAGAAAATCCCCTTAAAATAATTTTTCCAAGCTGACCATGTGAAAAGAAAATTTTTTTTTTGATGTAAAATTCCCAAAATGCTCTTACAACAGACTTTTTCAAATAGTGCAGGTGCGCACAGGAAATCAGATTTGACGCGGGGTTTTCGGGTCCGAGATGACATTTTCTGGAAAAATATTATAAAGAAACCCCCCCTAAAATCACATTTTCTATGTGATCATGTCAAGACTGGAATTTATTTTTCAAAGAAAATTCCTGAAATACCCCTAGATCAGTTTAGACCAAGAGGGTTAAAAAATGCTACAGTGACTGTCTGCAATTGAGAGCAAAAACGGGCTAGTAGATGAATTTTTATGGAAAAATACAGAAAAGAAACCCCTCCTGAAATCAAATTTTCTACCCGACAACTAGGACAGAAACAAAGAAAATGGACTATAAAATGCCCAGAATGCCTCTCCATGAAATCTGGTCATGAGGGTCATAAAGCTGCTAAATGTAAAACTGAAGCTGAACTTTGCAAGGGATTTCCGGTACCAAGACGACATTTTCTGGGAAAAAAAAAAGAAACCCCCCCTAAAATCACGTTTTCTAAGTGACCATATGGAGACTGAAATTTATATCCCAAAGGAAAACTCCAAAATGCCCTTAAACTGGATTATGCAATAAAAATGCAAAATGAGTCCATAGGAGGCCCAAATTGTCAAGGAAGAGGTTTTGCCCAGAAACGATCATGCACGCAAACTTAACTTACCTATTAGGATGTGTTACAATGGTCCACGGCTTAAAAATACCACCGATGCAAAATTTGACCCCCCTAACGGCCAAAAGGGTGAAAATGCACATGAAATAGAAAATTTGAAATTTAAAATTGACAAATGATTTCAAATTGCCGTTTGGCCATTGACCACACTTCATGCATGATTAATGAGACCTAGTGGAAGTGTAACACACTTTGGACCACCTGATTTGAAAATGAACCCTTAAAGGCTCGGTTTCTACTATTTTAGCACAAAAATGCAATATGTGAACTAAAATGTAAAAATGAAAACTAAATGGTGTTTGGCCCTTGGCCACACCTCACATATGGTAAATGAATGTTAAAGGATGAATTTCACACAAAATGCACACACCGGTGCGAGAATGACATATCAAAACCCCAGTTTTCATACTTTTCTCATTAAAGGCAAAATTCAACATTCATGAATATTCATGGATTTCAAATAAAGTTTGGCCCTTGGCC